ACATGACGCGCGGGCGCCGCGTGCGCAGCTCCCGCCGGCGGTCGACGCACGCGCGCACAAAGAGCACGACCCCGCGCCCCGAGCAGCAGCATCATGAGCGTGAACAGCGCGCCGAGCACCCCCTCGGCGCGCCCCTCGGCCTCGCCGTCCGCCGGCCCGAACCCCGCCGCCGTCAGCGCCAGCTGCCACCCGACGATGCCCGCCCCGGCGCCCGCCCCCAGCGCCAGCACGAGCTCGATGCCGATCTGCGCCTTGGGCGCGATGGCGCGCCCGCGCCGCACCCAGAGCGTCAGGAGGTCGGCGACGTCCCAGAGCAGCGCCGGCCCCGCGGCCGCCATGGTCATCCACGGCCAGATGTCGTCGAGCGCCGAGTTTGTGGCGCCGAGCGGCAGGAGGTACGTCATGTTTGTGATGAAGATGCCGAGGAAGACCGTCAGCGAGAGCGACCGCAGGAAGAGCTTGGTCGTTTCCCAGCCGCGGACCCGGCGGCGCGTGTACTTGGCTCGCGCGACCGCCACCTGGCCTTCGGGTTTTGTGGAAGAGAGGGCTGTGGCGTGTGAAGACATGATGAGGATGCTGCTGCTGCTGAAGAAGAAGAAGAAATCGCAAGGGGCCTTGGCCCCCAAGCGCCCTTCCACTCGTCGTGGGATTCGCAAGGACACCGTTCGCCCTTCGCCGTTCCCGTTCGTCGTTCGTCGTTCGTCCTGTATCGCGGTAGGCGTTCTGGTGTCGATTGGGACGCGACGTGGATTGAAGATGGCAAAACGAGCGTGATGTGATGGACGAGTGGAACACAGGGCGAAGAATGCGCTCTGGCTTTACGACGTTGCATTCGTTCTAGGGCGCCTGGACTGTCATCTGAGCTAACCTGGTCCTCTGGCCCTTGTCCTCTGGTCGCGGACCCCTGCGTCCCTCAACTGATGTGGCCTGACATGGTCTAGCTTCCAAGCCGGATGTGCGGCCGCTGCTCCAGCCTCACTCGTATGGGCACTTGACATGCTGGTGGCCTTCATATTAGCCACAGGCACACGGGAGGTATATCGAGTCGATGGACATGGCAAATAGGGCGTGGGTGTTCTAGGTAGTAGCACTGGGATTCTTCGCCAGCTTCGGGAAGGTCGGGTCGGGACAGGAGGCATGATCCTGAGTCAATTCTGAATCGAAATGCTCCGAGACTCCTCAAACGCAGCCCGGACCACCAGAGGGACCGGCCACACGTAGAAGAGCATCTGGCTGTGGGCTTGGGTTGCGGCACAGCACCACGTTTCTTGAGCACACAGCCACTGCTGGAGGGCACAGGCAACGAGATGAGACACAACTGTCACTATTGTCTTCTTTGGAAAAGAGAAGCAAGCTGCGCCATCGGCCTACATGGGCGCTGGTCTCATGGACCTGGACATGGTAGGTCTCCAACTAGAACGGGCAATCAGCAGCGCTGTTGACAGATTGTTTTGTTCCTCTATTCTGACGTCAACCTGAACGACGACAGTGCCGTAGCAAAATCCTTCACAATAAGATGGCGCTCCACTGTCTGAATTGCCGCCTCTCTTCTGAACACATCTCCGAGAGACGAGTCAATCTGTGGGTACAATGAAGTCATATGGCCTTGAACAGTAGTCGAAGGTTAGGCCCTCAAGGGGGACAAACCAAGCCACAGTCCTGAGAGGTGAGCTTGCTTTAAGCCGTTCTATCATACTTTACATCAGCTCAGAACTAAGAAAAGTATATTTGCCTTAATATATCGCCGATCATGTAGTAGGTAGAATCTCAGAGCATTGAATTAACACACGATGTACCGAAAGGGTTCTGAAGTCAGGAGTCTTTCTCAGCAATACCTGTATCCAGCGGATTTAGAGTGCGGCTTAATCTGTCCCCCCCTTGGCCCTGAACAGCAGTTGAAGTTTCAGCAAAGAGGATCATCGAGCGTGCCGGACGACTTCGAAGGCTTGGGCAGAATTGTAACGTCAAGAGACTTCAGTCCGCTTAATTACCTTGTGCTTGGCGAGGAGGGCTAGGTCACTGCTCTTCCCTTCAACAGGGCGAATGCATACATGGTCAATAATCAACACAAGACTGATGCAGGTAGGACCCTTCTCGTCACATAAGGTAGACACCAGGCGTTGAGTCCAACTGGGTTCGCTTCTCATGACATGAACCTACCTTTCCAAGATATCAATTAGTGTCTACCCATATGCCACTGACAACGCAGTCATTCACGGACTTTGGGAGCAAGCGATTGAAAAACATTGAGAATTTTTGGCCCACGTCTGCGTGAAATATACAAATCACAACCACCGCCCATGCACCTCAGACACACGCCCAGCTGTCGGCCAGCTTGGGATCGCCGGACTGGTACACATTCCGCGCAGGGTACTTGCAGTGCTTCCTCTCAAAGTTCACGCCCGCCGTCTTGGTCCCGTTGACGTACGCCGTGCCCAGGATGTGGTCGGGCGCAACGCCCTCCTCCACCCACCGCACAATCGCCGACAGCACGTTGCGCTCCGGCTCGTGCCCGGCCACGGCCACGGCCCTGTTGCCGATGAACGTGGCGCCCGGTCCGCCAGCGCAGTGGTTGAGGCCCGAGATGCGGAAGTAGCGGTAAAACTCGTCGAGCGCGGCCGACGTGAGGCCCATGGTGCGCGCGACGTGGTTGTAGTAACGCGCCGAGTTGTCGCTCGAGATGATGGGGTCCTGGAGGCCGTGGTAGTGCAGGATGCGGGCGCCGCGGGCGCGCGCGCCCGACAGGTCGCCCTCCCACGTGGCGATGTTGAAGGGGTTCTGCGCCGCGGCCGCGGCGTAGTCGGCCGGCCCCAGCGTCGCCGCGTCCCAGCTGCTGTCGTTGTAGACGACGTTGCGGAACCAGTCGTTCGTGTAGGGGAAGGGCCGGCCGCCGACGAGCAGGCCCAGCTGCGGGCTCGGCTGCATGCGCGGGTAGACGAGGGAGCCGTCGGGGCCGTGCAGGTCCGAGAAGACGGCGCGCACCGTCTGCGCCTGGGTGCCCGTGAGGCAGGGGCCCGTCGTGTTGGCGCCGCAGATGAGGGCCTCGGGCCGGTACTGGCAGAGGTCCGGATCCTCGAGGATGCCGTCAACCTGGCCGTCGAGGCCGTCGCATTGCACCAGCATGTTCTGCCACACGGCGTTCCACTGCTCGGTCGTCAAGAACGTGGGGGAGCCTGGCGGGCCAGTCTTTGTGAAGAAGCTGCCGCTCCACGACGTGAGGTTTGTGAAGGCGAAAGCGGGGGCGCCGGCGACGATGCCGTCAAAGTCTTCGGGGAAGTCCTGTGCCTCCTTGAAGCCCTGGCGACCGCCGGTCGAGCAGCCGAGATAGTACGACTTTGTGTGCTCCTTGCCGTAGAATGCCTTGGTGACCTGCTTGCCGAGAACGACGCCCAGGTGGAGGGCCCGGTAGGCGAAATCCTTAATGACGCCCGGGTTGTTGAGGAAGGGTTCGCCAATGGTGCCGTTGTGGCCGTTGTTCGTGCCGACGGCGGCGAAGCCCTGCGACACGGCGTAGTTGACGTCCTCATACTGGATACATCCGCCAGTGCCACCATTGCCGGTGCTCAGGAAGCGACCAGTCCAGAATCCACCCACATT